TACCACTACCACTACCACTACCTGCTATTGCTACTGCTATCGCTACTGCTTCTGCTAATCCTACTGCTACTGCTCCTGTTACTAGTGAAAACGACCATGTTTCTGCTACGACGACAACTACTTCTGCCTCTGCTGCAGCTACAGCTGCTGCTGGCTGCGACTCATACCACCAGGCACTTCTCCTCCCCCAACCACCATCCCCACAATGCGCACCACCCCAAGCACGGCCCTGATCGTTCTTCCCAAAAACTGACCCCCAAAACTGACAAGTGCTACTTTGGTCGTTGATGTTGGACACCCGCCTGTCCACTGTATGCAGCTCGCTGCTGCTCTTCGCACGGATGGCACATGAGGAGATGGAGGATGTAGCCTTGTGATTCTGATTTGGGTGTACTTAGCTTACTATGTTATTCGCTGCTCTTTGGTTGCGTTTTAGACCCGATCGTGCTACAAATCCCCTTGTACTTCACTACAACAAGGCCGGCTGTGCGAAATGACACAGTCGTACCTCTTTCAAAAATTCTCTGCCAGCGGCGTTCATCGCCTTCGTCATGCTCACCCAAGTGCCGTGCGGAATGAGGGTACGTGTCATCAATGACGTGCGCAAGTCCCGTCTGCCAGTGGAGCTTGGCAGTGCCAACAAACAGCTCGATAGGCCTGCAGTAAAGAAGCCAAGAGCCAGCACCATGTCTCCAATGTAAGAGAAACTAGCACTTTGCTGCTGAGTAGCGCAGCGGGCACATCAAGCCTCGCAGCAATGACAGCTATGTCCAACCGAAGAATGCAGTTCTTTCGCATCAGCTAGACAGTACCAGACAGAACTAGACTGGACTATGTGACCTCAAGCAACAATCGCAGAAATCTGCAAGGTCTAAACCTTTTCACTGACTCAGCAGCAGTAGGACCTTAGCCTAGCAGGATTCCCAAGGTACCTCTTTGTCACCGAGGTGCCCGAGGTGTGCAACCAGCCGTGGAGGGCCGCCCATGTGGGGCTTTATCCAGGCCCCTGGGCGCATGCGGTTGATGTACGCTGCAGCGTGGTCGCACTGGAACTCGGGCCTCTGCCAGGTGCAAAGGTCTACTTGGAGGACCATGGGACTTAGTAAGTAAGGTTATAAGTCCCCTATTTGGGGTTATAAGTATAGCTACCTTAGTTATAACCCTACTCACTAAGTCCCATGATCCTTCAAGGATGAAATGAAAAGCAGAGCTTGGAGCAGGGCTCCCGGCCTTCTCTGCAGGAGCTCACCTTAGATTGCATGCAAATTGGCTGTTCTATACCCTGATTCTGACATCTACAACCCCGTATTCAGCCCAAACTGTACCCAGACGGCACAGAGTAGTCTTAAGCATTCTAAGGCCTTCTTCGAATAATATCCTCATTCGCCACCTCCGGCAACAACAATCACGGCGCAAACCGCTTGTTAGTAAGACGCTGAAAACGGTTGTTGAGCGGCAAGTACGAGGCAGCTGAGAACAGGCAGCCAGCTTCCATGGCTCCTCCTCCCGGGTGTCCGCCAATTCCAACACCGTCCAGTCGGTATCTCTGGCATGGTCTTGGCCCTGCCAGCGATGTCAAAATGCAAGCGTGACATGCCCTTAGACTCCTTAGAGCCCTCATGTTGTGAGAGGTTTCTTAAACTATTAAGGCTACTTTGACTCCAATTTCTCCAACTGGTCCTCGGCATTCCTTTCCGCCTCGTGCAGGGCATCAAACAATCCAGCGTGCTGGAGCAAAGCATCAAGCTCGCCACGGAAGGTGGTAAAATGCTCCTGCAGGCTTCCATAATTCCGGGTGGGTCGGGTCTCTCGCTGTACGACCTCTCACCCTGCCTCCAGCCAGCTCTCAATAGGCAGCATCTTGCTTGGCCAGACAGGACCAGGGGAAGGAAACATCTCGTGATTGTAGTTCATGTCGTGGGGACGCTGCCACGGGAACCTCGCGAAGTATGGGTGGCGCATCATCTGCGAGAAATGCTCACTGGCGTTGCGCAGCATCCAGGCAGCTGGTCGTACATCTCCACGCCTGAGGTATCAGGAGCTGCGAGTCTACGAACTCTTCCCTTGCGCCCTGCAACCTAACCAGAATGCTCGAACCCAGTTGCGAAGGGCCTCGCAAGCTCAGATCCGATTTCTGCCTCGATCATGACCAACTGCTGCCAGAAGATGTGGCACCCGCGCTCCATGAAGCCGCGAATCTGCGCTTCTGGAGGCTGCTGAGCTGCATCCTGGACCATGAGCCGACATCTTCTAATATAGGAGCCTGACTAAGAACCCCCGGGCCTTTATTAGGGCTGTTAATACGAACCCGAACTTATTTGGGGTTCTAGGGCCAGGGTTTCTTAACCAGGTTCCTACATGAATCAAGTGGAGTGCCGATTTCCCCGTGCCTCGATGGACTCGAAGCAGCCGGCGCTTTTGAGGCCGCATCTCAGCAGCACCGCGGCACGCATCTGTGCAGACTCATCGACCTCCGCGCGTGGGACCGCCCCGTCCTTCCAGCGGAAGTAGAACCAGTGGTAGAGCTCCATGCCTCCAGGAAGCACCGAGCGAATCTGAGTTCGAAGACTTTTTAAAGCCCAGCCTATGGCGAAGCATAATGCCGGGGTTGATCCCAGTGCCAAGTTCTCCAGGAAGGCGAGACCTTCCGTCACGTCCTCCCAGATCTCCCGGAAGGTTGCCTAGGCAACTTCGGTGCACCAACTTTCACGAGGCGCAGGATCCTAGAGACGAGGTTTCGTTTTGGCTACAGCGGCTACAGGCAGTCGCTGCAGTGCTGCACTGAAGGTATCGGAGCTACCGCGCCTCCGGAGCCCTGGAGTAATAGATCCCCTGGATGAACTTGTGCACCTCTTCCATATTCTGAAGCGCATTGTCTCGGGAGAGGCTCAGCGGGCCCCATGTGATCACATTGCCCTCATCCGCAGCGCCCAGGCTTGCCGCAAGGAGCGCAGCGTTGCAAGTCCATGATCTCATCACTCACCTTACAACGCGCTGCTCAGCACAAAGTTTGCAAAAACAACGAAAACTTCCGAATTCGTCATTATGTTTATTATCATTATTATTACTACTACTATTATTATTAGTATTGTTAATGTCCTGGGCAGCCCCGGGTTTCAGGCTTCAAAGGGTTCGAGGAAATCAACCGAACTCACTCAGTCCAAGTCACGTCACTCGAAATTCTGCAGCTCGCTGTGAGACGCGATTCGTGACCCCCTACTGCCTCGTCTTGTGGTTAATGCTCGAATTCTTGTTCATGCTCTGAATGCTGTCGCTGCCATTCCTAGTTACACCCAATTCAATTCTGACTGGTGCAGTACGAGTGCTATTCCCATCTACGTGCATGAGCCATCGCACTGCGAAAGGTGTAGTCGTAGTAGCAGTCGTCGTCGTCGTCGTCGTCGTCGTCGTCGTCGTAGTAGTAGTAGTAGTAGTAGTAGTAGTGGAGTAGGAGTAGGAGTAGGAGGAGTAGTAGTAGTAGATTCTCAAACCCGCTTCTCTCATACGCGGGGTCTGGAAAGTTTCATTTTAACAGTGTTTTTTGGTTTGTCGGCTTGTGCAGGTCTTCGGTGGCACAGAGGCGACTGTGGAGAGAGATGCGAAGCCTCTCGAAGGTGACGAAGATGCGCAGGACGCTGGTGAGGCTTCGGACTCCAAGGAGGGACGGAGCCCCCGGGGTCTGGGCAAAGTGAAGACGGCAGTGTTCCGCAAAGCCGGAGACCTGCGAGAGGGTCTCAGAAATCGGTTGCAAGAGGAGCCGAAGGAAGAGGCCTTCTGGATGTTGCCCTCAACCAGGGCCAACTATGCAGAGCTCTCTGCACCAAATTCCCACGAGGCCGTGAATCGCATGCGATCCCTGGGTGGCAAGTTGAAGGGAAGCCTAGCGCGAAAAGGCCGGGAAGTGTCTTCTGGCGTAGTGAGCATAGCGCAGGGCGTCCGTCAAAAGGGACAGTCCTTGAAGGAGGCAGTCGGCACAGGTCTCCCGGCTCCGCAGAAAAGTGATTCGGATGCTCTGGATGATGCAAACTTGGGTGACTCCATCTTTGCCATCGGCTCCGACGAGGAAGATGCGTGGTCAGATGGCGATGACTTTTGGGACCGGCCGTCGGATTCCGAGACGGCCGCCTCTGCTGCAGGCCCCTCTTTGGAGGGATCCGAGGCCGCCCGCGAGGGCCCTGCAGAGGCAGAGCCGAAGTAGAGCCGCGCCGCTCCCGCTCCTGTCTCACATTGTCTCACCAAGCACAGGCAAGAGAGGTTTCTACGACTAGCGGAAACGACCTGTCGGGCCGCTGTCTCTGCTACTTCTCAGTTGACGTAATGGCATGTACGCCCTCGGCATCATCAAGCGATTGCATGAACAACTCAAGGCTTCGAAGCCTCCTACTACATTAGCACCAAGTTCTCAGAGCCTCCGAGCTTCGTGGGTCGAGGCCTCCGTAGTTCAGACATAAATCCTTTCTGCTTTCTCGCAAGCAGCCTGCCCTCATGTCTCGAGAAGATGACGGAGGAAAGGCAGCACCTGCCAGGCGGGAGGAGGGGGAGGGCGGCTGCCGGGTCCCGAAGCATCCCGCACACTCTCAACAACCTCTGCAGGGCGAGAGCCTTTCTTGCAGACTCGGGCTCTATCGGCTCCTGCGGTGCTGTCTGCCAAGGAGGTTCGGGCAACGCAGACACGTCCGGCTTGAACCGTTGCTCGCAAGCCGCCATGTTTGAGGCACGCCGCGGACTCTGCCAAGTCGCGCAGGTCATCAGCACCGCCCTTCTTGCATTGTGGCTCGGCTCGTTGGAGCTTTGAGCGAAGGGCAGTGTCGACTAGACCTACGCGCATCTCGGAGGCTCGTGCTTCTTCTCATCGTGGCTGCATGGACTCACAGGCACCCTGCCAGTCAACACCATTCGTGGGACAAATCGACAATCGACACGCTAAGCGTGGTTACGGCGCTAAGTAGCCTTCCAGGCAGAAGCTGGGAGGGGCTACCAAAGACCTCTGCCACCGTCTCTTCGATATGGAACCTGCCCCAACCTCAAAGATCAATGCTAGAATGCTGCCAAGCAAAGGGTCTCACAATTTAAGGCTGGCTTTGTTGTTCTGCTTCTTCCTGTCGTTTCGGGGATAGTGCTTAAGGTAGGGTCTCAGAGTGTCAGGTCGAGGCCGGCGTGTTGCTCTTCGCCGCCACAGCGATCGTGTGACCGACGTGTTTCATTCGTGCCGGGACCGCGGACCAAGCCCAGTCAGCTGTCAGAGCCGATAAAGGTAGTTGTAGTAGCAGTTGAGCAGCAACTGACGGTCATGCGTTCCTATTCAAGCTGACAGATACTATCAACGAAGAGCAGCAGTGGAACAGGTTGAAGTAGAAGAGGAAGAAGTCCTGGTGTGGTCGTCATCGTCGTCGTGGTCCTAGCAGTGGTAGCAGTGGTAGCAGTCGTAGTAGTAGCAGTAGT